TTTAATCTCACTAAAAGCAGGCAGTTTTAGGATCTTGTGTTACAGACAGCTGGAGACTCAATCAGTATGCTTTCAGCTTTAGCTTTTTTTTTTAAGTGAATTAATCACTTACAGGATTGAACGTGGAAGAGGTGATTGATTCCACTGTAGTTCTATGAGAGGTGTATATAAAACCTACTTGAAGTCTGTTGTGTCTAGAAGTGATTTTCATCTACCTAGATTTGATTGTGGATGCTAAAATTTGTTGGAAAATTAGAAGTCATACATAGCTGTCACTTAAAACATTGTAATACCTAATTGCTGAATTCAAATAGATTAGTTATATATTAAGTAATACAAAACTAGAGAGTGCAGTAGCACCTTGTCATGCCACAGACAAGAAGTTGCTTCTACTCAATTGCTGCTCTTTACCTTTTCAAATGTGAGGGAAGTGAGGAGAGGTTGCAGAAGAGCAGCTTTCCACTCTGATTAGGTATGCAGAATAGTAATTCAGCACTTGGATATAGGTCAAGGATTAATTGATGTGGAAAATAATATGCCCTTTGACAGAAGTCTTGATCTGTCTGAGTTTAATCTCATTTGCTACATTATGCTGTAGTTGCTCTCTAGAGATGCTCATTCTTCAGGAATACATATCTGATACCTGCTCTGTCCAAATTACAAGCCATGTTTTGGGGGGACAGTGTGGCAAACAATGCAATTAAGTTTTGTATTGCATGGAGAGAGCTGAAGCAATTGTAGTTGTTGAAACTAGTTGAAACTAACACTTCTGAGGGGCACTACATTATTTTGTCCTAATTTGGGATTATAAAGTCCGAATACGCACATCATATGGGACGATACACCGTAGATGTCATTTGCACTCTTCTCCCTGATGATCGACACTGCAGCTTGAAATATTTCACGATACGTCAAGACTAATATGACTCCTGGAAAAACCCAGAGTACAGAAGAAGTAGAATATCACATAAGACATAATCAAACCTATACCAAATGCAGTATTTCATGGAGAAAATAATGAGAGGAAAGAAAGAGAATTTAATTTCAAAAAAAACCCCAAACAACAAGAAATAGCTTATCATTCATCTCTGATTCTCAGTGGCTGGCTACTGGAGAAGAGCTGCACCATAGAATTGCATGCCCCTAGTTTAAGTAAGTGGACACTTTTGCTACATTTGACTATGCAGTGTAAATAAGAATGACCCCATTCGTGCTAGGGTAATTGCTCAGATTTAAATCGCAGCTAAAACTAGCATCTATAGTTTCTAAACACAAAGAGTGTTTATAATCAATACTCACAGGGAGGAGCATTCACTGAGATGCAAATCTGTAATCAGACAAGCATTATTTATAAACACTGAGCAGTCAAGACTTTCAGAAAGAGTCAGAAAGACTGATTTGCTATTACAGTAAATCAACCCTCAGAATTAGGCCTTAGTCTTAAATCAAAATACATAAATCTCAAGAAGCTTTAAGAATAACAAAATTTGTTTCAAGTAAAAACTAAAAATTGTTTTGAGATGCATATTTTTTGATAAGAATGTCAAAATAATGAATTCTTACATTTGCTTCTGCCTTGCTTGAAGGAAACTACAGGTTCTCGTTTCAGGAGCTAATATCCAAGCAATAACCATAATGGCTTTCTGTAGCAGCCTTTTCTTTTTTTTTTTATCAACACATATTTCATCATATTAAACTATGCAGCTTGCTCAGAATGAAATCTAAATCATTTCCAGAAAAGCTGCTTGGGGGGTGTGGAGGAAGTAAAATTCAGCGCTTTCTGCTAGGCAGTAAAAACTGAACTGTATATGGAAAATGAATGGAGCCATCCACATCCATAAATCACATATGAGGCAGTTGGAAGCAGTGTAAGAACATGAATAATATGGATATGTAGTGGGCTGAAAAAGGTGAGGCTTTTCCAGATGAGAACTGCCACCAAAGTGTACGGCTTTATGCAAAGCACTGCACTGCTGTGGGGACAGCACAAGAAGCCTTGCGTCTGTGTGCTCTTGGCAAATCTCTGCCAAGATTTGGCTTAAATCAAGTAACATCGTTACGTCCTGTGTTACACTGGACATTACGGTCTGCTGCTTACCAGCCAACCAAAAGTGACCCAAAATCAATATATTTTGATTGGTGGGGGTGGGAAGGAGATTATGCAGTCCTCTGTAGCTTAAAATTGCTTGAAATCAAAGATTCATGATTGCTTCATAGGGGCTGTAGTAGACTGATTTATTTGAAAGAATTGGCACCAGAAAGAGTCATGTAGAAGTAGTGACAGATATCTCAATCAGCATATGTATTAGATGCTTCAAGTTTCGTTATCCTTGCACCAGTGGGCTGTGTTCTCACTTTTTTAGTGATAGCTGTGACTACAGATCTTTTGTGGCCGTAGACTTACCTTTCAATTTGATTTCTGAGCACGCAAAGAAGAAAATCAGTAGTTGTACTTCGTACTGCCATCCCATCCTTTCCCACTAAAATGTGTGATATGAAAGAAGATGTTCGTAGGCAGCAGGACTGAAAAAGAAATAGCAAAGATGGAGGAATATAGAGGACAAGTCAGGCTCAGGTAAGTGGAGAGATATGACAGGGATGGCTTTGAAACTAGACATCAGAGATTATGTGAGATTTTTTGCGTATGTGTGTCTACTCTAGGTAATACTATGTGTAGGGTTCCTTTTCTTTTCCTGCTGTGTCAGCTAAAAATTTTGGGAGTCAACTCCAGCTGCTCCACAAGGATATGGTGCCACGCACAAAGCACCAGCTCAGTGCTATGGGCAAATTGTGGCGTCAAGCCAAACATTATGTAGCTGAAGGATATTCCATCTGCTTAACATGTGAAATACTCAGAACCTGGCACTGCAGAGAGATGATCCAGACTAGAGTGTCGCATGTGAAAGAGAATATGCAAAGTCTGCTGATTTAGCCAGGATAAAGCTAAATATCAGATGTATGCAACCATTCATCATGAGATGGCGTCGAGGACAAGACACAACCACCACCTTCCCCTTCCTCCCCTGCCTCAGAGACCCTCAACTTCACAGGATATGGAGTCTCATAAACTGCTTAATTTCGTGGCGTGGTACCATCAATACCAGGGATAGTTACCGCAGTGTCACCAGGTATGTGCTTACCAGCCTCTGTGCTTTATTTAGCATATGAGTAGTTAAAGAACATTTACACTTGTTCTTTAGTGTTAAAAGTTCTGGATCATTTGGAAGCTTGATATCAAAGCTAGTGTCAACATTGAGAAATCGGTGTTAATAATTAATCCACACTGGAAAAAAATAATTAAAAACACCCCATATTTTGATTCATGAAATCCATAACAAGAAGTTATCTTTTTCACTCTTGTTATTGTTTTCAACACTTGTCTGTAGTGTAGAATTCCAGTTGCTAATACAAATTAACACTTGGTTTTTACTTCTGTTTTAACCTGAATTAGCTAACTGAGATTAACATCATGAATTTATTGGTTTTTACAGTAGAAACAAACTTCCAAGTTTTTTGTAATTTCTGATCTGAATGCCCAACTCTGTCTGGAAGCAGTGAAATCAATACCATACCACTGCTGCTTGAATTTGCCTTGAAGTTTGATGAGTAGACAAAAGAAGGCTATAACAAATAAGACCATTATTTTTCCTCAAATTTAAAAATAGATCTGCTCAGTCTGGAGAAGAGAAGGCTCCGAGGTGATCTTATAGCAGTTTTCCAGTACCTGAAGGGGGCCTACAGGAAAGCTGGAGAGGGACTTTTTACAAGGGTATATGGTGATAGGACAAGGGGCAATGGCTTTAAACTGAAAGAGGGGAGATTTAGATTAGATCTAAGGAAGAAATTCTTCCATCTGAGGGTGGTGAGGCACCGGAACAGGTTGCGTAGAGAAGTTGTGGCTGCTCCATCCCTGGAAGTGTTCAAGGCCAGGTTGGATGAGGCTTTGAGCAACCTAGTGTAGTGGAGGATGTCCTTGCCCATGGCAGGGCGTTGGAACTAGGTGATCTTTGAGGTCCCTTCCAACTTTAACCCTTCCATGATTTTATGATTTTTAACCTAAATGACTCTTAAACAGCATTATCTACAGCACCCTCCACCGGAATGAATGTGGATTTTACCCTAGTTATGGACTTTCTGTTTCTAATACACATTTTAAAACTCATCTCCATAGGGCAGATCTCAGTATTCCTATTCTTACAGGTCTACCACAAATACACAGGCATCCATGACTCCACAGCATGAGGGACTTTTTTAGACCCTATGCTTTGTTTTATCCTGCAAGGACATTTTGTTTCAAATTTCTGTTTTTGTGGTTAACTACTTCAACCTCTGCTCTTTCAGATATGACCTTGTTCAGATCCTGCATCAGAGAGGAATTTACTGTAACATGCTGTGACCTGCATTTCTTGCCTCATGCCTGCACACTGTCAGGCACTTCCTGAATATCAAGAGAAAAGGGATTTGCTTTTCAGTACATACTGTGCAACAGGCTAACCAAGCTCCCTTTTACAGTTTGGGTAGAAAACTGAGGTATCCATTTAAAGACCACTGGTTTCAGACTGAAAGGGGCTTGAGCTAAAACTGTTTGAAGATCTATGTGTAAGTACAAAACTTTAGAGATATTGAGCTTCCAATGACTTCCTTGAAAATGTCAAGGACTCAGTAATTGCTTCTGAACACCTGTACTTTCAGCCAAGCATGTGTGCTTTTGATTACTTCGTCATGGCCAGAATTCAGTACTTGTGTAGAAAATGATGGGAAATATTTAAGAGCATACAAGGACATTAGTCATTGAATACCATTGTAAGTACCTTATTTATTCACCTGGTTTCCCTGAGCTTCTAGTGAGAGAGAAGGAAGGTGGTAAAGAGCAAAAGGTTATTTTAGGAGTTTTGATTCATCATCCCGAGGAGCCGGTCTTTTTATCTGGGACAAAGCCTCAGTGCACCATGTGAGCAAACTGAGGCTACAGTTGAGTGATGTGAATTTCCTCCATAAACATGTCTGTGGATGATTTTAAGAACCATCAGGTAAAATTTTGTAATTCCTAGTCTTTGGGCACAGGGAAATGGGAAGTGAATTTCTTGCCTTTACCTTAGGTTCAAGAAGGAGACAGCATTTAATTGTATAAAGTATTTACCTGAATTAGTATAAGCATACAAGAATGCCTATATAATTCTGTAATTATTTTCTAACTCCTGCTAAGGTCTTGCTTAGATCCACATTCTTCAGTTAATTTTCAGTATGTTAGGTCCTGAAAAAGAGCATGAAGGGCTTCCTATCAACTTTATTAAAAAAACCACCAACCAATGGAACAAACCTTAAGTGTTGTGGAAACCCTTTGGTCCACATTTGCTAGTCCAATTTCTCTTTCAAGCCGTAGAAACAAAATTCCTATGGCAAGGAGAAGAAGAAAACATATACAAGAAAACTCACAAAACTATACAAAACTAACTGTGAAAGTAGTCTTCCTTGCCTTCTGCATGTCCAGCAATATCTACTACTTTGGTTTAAAGATAACACTGGCAAAAAAGTACTTTTTTTTTTTTTTTTAAATGTTCATTGTTTCATTTTAGAGAGCCAAAACAAGAATGTGGCATTTTTTCCTTTGGAATGAGAAATCCTTCCTGTTAATCAAGAAAGCTTTCTAAACTTTCTCTTAAAAAGGAATCCTCTAATTCTTGCAGGATAAAGTAACTTTCTTACAAAGATCTTAAAGCGTATCCTTCTGTGAGGTACTTGGTTAATAATATGCTGGTTTTGCTGATGAATGCCTTGACACAGAGGCTATGTGTTTAACTAAACTTTGTTATTTTTAGTTGCCTTCCTAAAATCCATGTTGCTGGTGATTGAGCATGCTATTGTTATTTTATTTCCTTCAATGCTTATCCTTTTTTTCAAAGTGAGATCAGATATCTGTGATATCCTTTGAAGATTTCTGCTGGATATAATGGTTATTCTCTTTTTGGCAGTCTAATCTGCTTGTTTAACCTTCTCACAGATGTATGAATGCATGTTATACCAAATATGAATGTACTCAAAGAAATGAAATGCTGTGTATATGTGTGACAAAATACCTATGCTTCTTACTAGATAAAATGTACACAAATTTAGATATAGATATTTATATAACCTCACAGTGCTGTGAAATACACCCTTCTGTGTTGTTTAAGAGGCTATGTATATGAGCTTGATGACTGAATCATAACAGGCTTCAGATGACAGACAAATGCATGATGAGCAGATTGGTTCTTGATCATTAAATTTCACCGACCATTGAAACAGCAATCTTTATATTCCAATCCAGACAAAATTGCCTTGACTTTTGCCCTGACTTCATTAAATTGTAAAAGTGCCTGGATAGGCTAATGCTGAGAGCTGAAAATAATCTGTGACTTCTCTCATAAAACGTTCATAAGTGTGTAGTGGGGTTGAGGTGGACGGAAAGGGAAGATGGTATACAAATAATTGAAATTAAGACTATAATATTTTTATTATAGTGGTAAGACAGGAGAGGTCACTCAATGTGACCCAATCTCTCTTCCAGATGGGCCTCCTTGAGCAACATAACTCTTTACTTTCATGATTGTTCTTTGCAATGAAAAGACTTAAAGGAAATCTTGGAAGGTGGAATTCTCCTAGTCATTTTGGTCACACTTAAAGGTGCTGAAAGCTTTCATTGACCTCAGTCTCAACTCTGAATTCCCTAGGTTTCTAACACATTTTGTTATTACTAGTTATATAATTTTTAAATAGCAGCTTTTTCTTTAAAAAAAAAAAAAACAACAAAAATCTACCCCCCCAAAAAAACAACCCCAAAACAACCAAAAAACCCACAGCAATTGCCAACAACACACACACCTCCCCCTGCCCCCATCTTGTAGCATGATCTCTCTTGCTTAATGAAGTAATGTTTAGGAAAAAGTATTACCTTTGTCTGTTCTTCTCTTTTTTCTTTTTTTTTCTCTCTTGTCCTTCTTCTTGGCCATCGTACATCATGGGTCAGATTCCAGCGCCCTACTCAGAGTAGTTCTGAAGTTAGTGATACTGTTCTAGTCAGTGAGTAGTGGGGTATCACCCAAAAAACTTATTGGTGTTAGATTCATAATATGAACTAACTCATTTTGAGGTAACCTGCTAGCAAAGGAAATATTTATCAAGAGGACTTCACTCCAATTTGCAATGTTTGTGAATGATTTAAGTGATTTTCTTTTACTTTTCTTACAGGAATTGTCTCAATTATGACTCTCACTGTTCTTGCCTATGAACGCTACATTCGAGTAGTCCATGCAAAAGTGATTGACTTCTCTTGGTCTTGGCGGGCTATCACATACATCTGGCTCTATTCATTAGCCTGGACTGGAGCACCTCTTTTGGGCTGGAACAGATACACACTGGAAATTCATGGATTAGGTTGCTCAGTGGACTGGAAGTCGAAAGACCCCAATGATACCTCCTTTGTGCTCCTTTTTTTTCTTAGCTGTCTGGTAGCACCTGTTGGGATCATGGCCTATTGCTATGGCCATATTCTATATGCAGTAAGAATGGTAAGTTGATTCAAATAAAAGACTTCTCTTAATGTGATATTTTAAGTGAAAATTGCTGGTGCTGTATATTAAGCTTGGATTAGAGTCTAAATTTGCATTCTCGCTTCTTATTCAGACTTTTGAATATTTAATGTTCACATCAAGCACCACTAGAAGTGATGTAAGGTTGGAGGAAAACCATCCTAGAGCTACCAAGATCTATTTGTTGTGTAGTTTTACTGGGAGGCAGATTAGGGAACTGCTCATGCTCACTAATCCACATCAGATCCTCCCTTGAAACATGGGGAAAAGAAGACTCTGTTTGCATTTAAGGAGCTCCCTCTCTCCTCTTTGCAGCTTTTGAGAAGATCATAGAATCATAGAATGGTTAGGGTTGGAAGGGACTTCAAAGATCATCTAGTTCCAACCCCCCTGCCATGGGTAGGGACACCCTCCACTACACCAGGTTGCTTAAAGCCTCGTCCAACCTGACCTTGAACACTTCTAGGGATGGGGCATCCACAACTTCTCTGGGCAACCTGTTCCACTGCCTCACCACCCTCAGATGGAAGAGTTTCTTCCTTATATTTAATCTAAATCTACCCTCCTTCAGTTTAAAGCCATTATCCCTTGTCCTATCACTACATGCCCTTGTAAAAAGTCCCTCTCTGGCTTTCCTGTAGATCCCCTTTAAGTACTGGAAGGCTTCAATAACGTCTCCCTGAGCCTTCTCTCATAATCTCTTCCAAGTGGAGATTAGCCCTGTTAAACCAGTCTTCCATGTTAAATGCAGTCCATTTGAACACTTTCTGATGCTAAAGACCTATGTTAATGTTTGATATTCTGTGGGTAATTAGTCTGGGCCCATTCAAGTTTGTGGTCAACAGTATTGGCACAACGGATAACTGTTATAGAGAATGTTCATCTACATGTCCCATCTTTTCCTCATTTCATGACTCACTTGGATGACACTCGGAACCTGCTGCCTAGTATTCTGCTAAAACTAAATTGGTGAATTAGTGATGTATAAGTAAATTTAGGCCTATTCAGTTTGAAGTAAAACATAGAGCTATTTTACTTTACCATTTTATCTCTTTCTTCTACAGCTTCGCTGTGTGGAAGATTTCCAGACTGTTCAAGTGATCAAACTTCTGAAATATGAAAAGAAGGTGGCTAAAATGTGTTTCTTAATGATCTCCACATTCCTTATTTGTTGGATGCCCTATGCAGTGGTCTCCCTCCTGGTAACATATGGCTATAGCAACCTTGTAACTCCAACAGTAGCTATCATCCCATCTTTCTTTGCCAAATCAAGCACTGCTTATAATCCAGTCATCTATATCTTCATGAGTAGGAAGGTAGGTACATTAAAGATTTTCTTATTTGAATAATTAGTAGCCTGTTTCACAGTGTGGAGGTTAGATCTGGTTTACTTTAATCGGTAAAGCCTAGATTTTTTTATTTTTTTTTTTTTTATATTAGAACAGCTAGGATAAATAGTAAAGACCTAGTAGAACTGAAATCCCTGATGGTGTTTAAAGTACTACCCCATCAGAAATTGGATTTTTAAATGTCTGAATTCACACATGAGCACTCACATGAAAGGGAGCGGAAGGAGTGTCAAAATTTAAGTGTCTAATTCTGACAATTTACCCATGAAAGGGATTACAACTAGAAAATCTCATCTCAGTCACTCCCTTATGACAACAGATCTCCATCAGACAAAATTCAGAATATCTGTAGTATGCTTTTTAGGAGGACTTTGCCATTACGGCAACACAAGGGTTGAACAACTCAGCGCAGTATTTCAAATAAGTATGCTCACAAAAACACGAGTGACAGTCTGTTTAGGATTTTAGACTGGGTTTGGCTAAGTAAATATGTCAGTAAGATGTTTCGGGATTGTTAAAATACCAGGGAGTGAAACAATTGTCCATACTCCAGTTCTACTTAAGCCTAGAAAAGTTTTACAAACACACATTCCTGATACGTAACTGCTCATGAGCTCAGCCATGAAAACCAAAGAACATTGCAAACAAAAGTAGTTATCTCTTCGGTTGTGGAAGAAAAATTGGGGAAAAAAAGACATCTTGAAATTTTTGTTTAATCTCAAGTGGAAACAAAGAGTTGTCATTTGTTATGAATTAAATTTCTAGTGTACAATGCTAAAAAAATAAAAGTAGGAAAGTGAAACACTATATTCTTAAAACGTTTCCATTAAGTTTTTAAGTGAACGCTTTACAAAATTCAGCACATGGTCTTGGATCATTTCAGTCTTGATTAATTGGTGATTTTGACAAAAAAATATGACACCAGTAGCATTTCTCAGAGCTTTTTAGTATTCAAAGCCAGAATCTCATGTGGATGACAGTGAAATATTTTTTTGGAGGTAAATTATATGCTGTTAAGAAGACATACTTATCTATGAGAAGAATGTGTATATATTTGTCTGCTCTTTTAGTCTTCATTATGAAAAGTAAACTGCTGATTTAATGGTGGTAACTACTTAATTTCAGTGCTTTACAGAGCAAAGAGAGAATGAAAGTATTTGGAGTTATCAGTGGCATGTCAAATTTGTGGAAACTGGAAAAGTATACATCTTTCTGTAAATCATCAGTACTCTGAAGATTCACCACCTTAAGCAGTGTTGGTGAAGTTATTTAGACATTAAAATATCTTCACTATAACTGTGAATAACTGAAAGTATAACATGCCCATTGTCAACTTCTGAAACCAAGACTGTACAAAGTTAAAGATACCTGGAGTTTAATAGAATCACTTGACAAAGACTAAAGAAATATGAATGACTGCTGGAAGGATTTCCATGGGTTTTCATTACCTCATTATAGAGATGGAACTTTCTGTGATTTCCTACACTGGCTTGCAGTTGCCTGGCAGTAGCCCGGACCAGCCAGCAGTCTGCCAGGACAAGGCAGCCAAGTTAGTGGG